TTAATCCCTACCTTCTCCCGTTCTTTAGGTTACTGCGTCGTGCTGTACGTTGAGTTTAACGACCATGTCTTCGCGTCTTTTGTTACATGGGCTATGTCACTATTTCACACACACACACACACACACACACACACACACACACACACTTCCCAAAAGCAGATAGACGATGCGGTTCTAATTATTCAGATATCCATACCTTTTACAACTCCAGTTATCCGAATGTAATTTCTAGATGTTCGGGTATCTAAGCTTCACTTGTCTGGGCATCATTTCAAGATGTCCCAGTATAATTGTAAGCTGTCTCGTTGACCTCATCGGTGCTGACAATCTCACGTACTGTACAAGCCTTCCAGCGACGTGTGGTGAAAATGTTATGGTAGGACTTTGATTTCAGCGATAAAGGTCAACTTATTCAGAATGCGCACTCAGAAAAAGTGCATCTTTGAAAATCATTCCATTTTTGAACGTACAATTTCTTATTAAATACAGTAACTATCATAAAATTTATGGTACATTTTGACAGCATTCGTTGCGGTATTTTAGTTGCAGTTGGTTTGACAGGGATAGCTCATTCTGTTCCGGATATATGGCCATTTTGGTTGTTCCGTATTTGAAGGTGCTTCTGTGGTGGTATCACAAAGATGGGATATAAGTGTCAACTGAATGTGAATCTAGTCAACACTGATGCTTATATTGATTGCCCATGATCGATTGATGTCCTATTGCAGCCGCTTGAGGTGTGGCTTATGAAATCCATTCCATTGTAGCATCAGGCTACGGAGCTGATCGCGTATGGTGCATTGGTATAAGCGGAGCAGGGCCCGATACGACTTTTTAGGGGAAGGGGGACGAACGCACACAGACGTGTACGCGTATCAGCAAGATAAACAATCAATATGTATGTCATGGCAATTGGGGCCTGTATGACCGAGGCACATCTCACAGTCGTCACTTCCTCCGCGATTCGACGGGACGTGAAGACAGAACATGGGACTTTCAGCGCCGATGAGGTCAACGAGACAGCTTGAAGTGATGCTCAGACAGTTTGAAATGATACCCGGACAACAAATGCAAAAAGTATAGAAGCAATAAGGAAATGCGATCCCGTGGAATGCAGAATGAGAGACTGTACTGGTTTAGACAAAGTGGGATTGCAGTGAGAATAATAGAGATTGACAGGAAAACCTGTTCTATGTTCTACCAGTGTCTTAAACACATCGTCCATAGTCTATGAATTATCGGCATATAGGGACGGAACTGAAATTTCTAATCCCAGGCTTGAAACAGACGGTTTTGTCAACACTGAAGGCCTCAAAGAAGTGGGGACACATGTACTTGGGATGAGTGTTAAAAATTCGTGCCATGGCAATTTCACTATCGCTCAGTCACTGAAGCTGTATAAGGAGACCGACTTTCGGACCCTCAATTGGATGTCTCGACAGGATAATCTATACACGGCATGGCAACCAGGTGGAAGGGTAGGGTAGTGATTCGAGCACTCAAGTCATTGTGTCTAATCTGTCAGACCATCCGTCCTTCGAACGAGGCTCCCATTTCCAAGGTGTCCAATACAACCAAATGATCAGTCGAGCCAGTGACCGAACAGCCAGTAGCTTTTGTCAAGTCCAACGGAGACGCGACTTGTTCGGAGTTATGTTGCAATGCTTGATACAATAATCACCTTGTTCATTCCACGAACTACATAGAAATCTGGCAGTTTGGTTTATTGATTCTGGTTCTGAATAAGTGAATCGGAGTACGTGCTCAGTTCGTGCTCAACAAATGACAAACCACGACTCTTACAAAACACACTAAAATTTATTCATTAACGAACTGAATTAGGAGTAAAGAATAACTTTTCTGGTACACCTGTAAAGTGAACACTACGGTCACTTACAACTGTATTAGGGATTGGAGTTCCTCGGAATACCTGCTGGGTACTTTTGGACTCGGACCCTCAACCACCTGCCACATCA